ATAGAATATATGCATGTTAGAGCTTATGAAATATACATGATGAAAAAGAACCCAAACAACCTTGAATCTTTACATAAAATATTCTGAGGTTTGAGTTTCATTTGAAATGAAAGAAAGAGATTGTGAAAACAGATTTTCAGGGTGGTTAATTAGTTTTTAAGCAAAATTTATATTGTTCTTCGTAAGTACCTTAAAATACCCTTCTCCAGGCCAGCTGGATTGTGGTGTACTTCCTCATATTATATTTTTCAACTTAATTAAAATAATAAGAAAATAAAGAAACTTGTGAAAAATAAAAAAAGAAAATGGCTGAAAAGTAAACAAATATGCAAAAAAAATCCAAACATTTTAACACAAATGTTAACATGCTATGAAATTAGAATACAACTTTGAAGCTGACCTCCCTCTGGCTTCTGTAACTACCTACATATACATTCTAAACTAAAATACATAAATAAGTACAAATTATCACATTTACAATTATGTGAAAGACATAGTTTAATGTGAATTCTCACTTTCAGGAAACATCAACAAAAACTCTTCTACTTAAGTGCAAGCAGTTAAAAAGTCTTTATTGTCCATGTAAAACACTAACACCCATGGCATGGCTCTCCATGGAAGGAGGGCTGTGATCACTGGAGGGTCTTGTAGAATACTTCAGGCAGTAACATGTCCCTATTGGCTTGAACCACCAGTGGTACTAACAGATCTAATCACTTTTATCAGTACAGTCATGCATGCACCTCCAGTTGTTCAAGCTGCCCAGCAGCAAGACAAATGAATTATGACCCATCATGAATGTGTTAAAATCCTTGATTTTATGGTAGGCAAGAATCAATAGTATTTTGAAATTGTATAGCATTGTAACTTTTAATCTGTAAAAGCTATTTAGTATTGTGTACTTGGAACAAACACACTCTCTCTTACTGTGTCCTGGATGTTAAAAGTTACTCTGGGTCCAGGAGATGCTGCATCCATATGGATTTCTGGGAGCTCTTCAGTTTTTCCTACTCCAGAACTATAAGTAAAATATAAGGTAATAAAACACTAATATTCTCATTTAAACAATTTCAATACTAAAAGTCTAATGACACCATAATCTTTAACATCATATAAAAAAGACACAATGTATTGATCAACCTAAGATTTTCTAAAACCAAACAATATAAAAAGAGTTTGGACTTTTTTTTATACTGCTAGCTTTGTACAATGACAATATCAAAGAAGTTTATCTGAGGCAAGATTACTGCTAACTGAAAAATTTTAGAGTTGATTAACAGTATTTTAATTTCCATATTTTCATACATGAAATATGTATGCAATCATAACTTTTCTGAATGGACATATTGAGACTATCTGCTACTAGTATGCACATACCCATGTCTTTGTATAGTCTAAAGTTTACACATAAAACTTGCCTAAAAGGCAGTGTACTTCATTACTAAAAAGAACTCACTCCATTGTGATATAAATATGATAGCGAAAATTCTCAAATAAATGAAGTTTCACAATAATCAGCATGATTGCTATTTTAGTAATAAGGTCTATTTTTATTTGGTTTTATAATTTCCCCAATTAGAGTGTAATAAAAAAAAGTAGTGAATATTGCTAAAGGAGTCAGCAATTTTATTTCTTTTTTCATCAGCTGAAATATATATTACCTTGCTCTTTCCATTCGCTTAAGAGGAAGTCTTCCAGAGGCAGAAATGCTTTTAGATCGACTATAACTTGGTTTGTAACCCAAACCCCACTTATCCTTTAGGAAGCAGCCTAATGAAATAAGAGAGGAAAAAAAATAACTGTAGACTATACTGTGGTCTTACCTTCAGGAGAAACTAGCTAGCAGAGCCTAACCTGCTTCAGAAGTGGGGAATCAAATCATAACTGATCAAGAAGGGAAATACTAAGCTTGAGTTATCTCTACCCACATTGTCTGACCTAAATTGGAAGAAAAAAATGACAAACATTTATGAAGTTCACTCTAGAGGCACAGGTTCACAAATAGGAAACACAGAGGATGATAAAACATTCACCCTCCCTTGACATTTTAGTAGTGGATCACACCAAAGGCCAATTTACAGAAGTTCCATTTACCTGGTGCAGTATGTATGGAAATCAAGAAAAACGACAAGGCATACTAAAAGGGAAAAAAGAAGTATAATCTTAAGAGGAAAAACAGGCATCAGAACTAGATAGTATAAGGACATGGAATTCTCAGGCCAGACATTTAAAACAGCTATGATTAATATGCTAAGGGTTCTGATGGGTAAATTGGACAGCATGAAAGGATAATTGGGATGTGAGTGATGGAAAAAATACAAAAATAAACCCTAGAGATCACAAACACTGACAGACATGAATGATGAGCTTATTAGCAGACTGGAACTCCATGAGGAAAAAAAATCACTTGTCTTGAGGATCTATAAATAGAAATCCTCAAAACTGAAAAGCAAAGAGAACAGAGACTGAAAAAAGAACAGAATGTCCAAGAACTGTGAGCCAAAAACTGTCTTTAATTAAAAATATAAATAAAACAGAAAAGGGAGGAAATTGTGGCTGATAGACAAATATGACCACTGAAAATCGAATAGGGGAAGGACGGACATTGCAGAAGAATTCACATTTTTCACAGAGCTCATATTAGAGACTAAAAAAGCAAATGCAAATTCATGAACAGCAGAAAAAGTGGTGGGAAAGGGACCAACTTTACAGTCCCACTGCCTAGGTTTAAATTTTGGTTTTACCAGGATTACTGGCTGTATAATCACAGTGATATTACTTGACTTCTCTGTCCTTTGATTTCCTCATCTTTAAAAGAGGATAATAATAGAGTTATCTCTTAAGACTGTTATAAGAATGTAATGGACCATTACATGTAATGTGTTTTAAATAGTATCTGGTACATAGTAAACCTGCTATGTACAAATCAGGTGGTATTATCACTGGCCTTAAAAGACAAAAAAAATAAGCATTATCATAGATAAGTTTTAAAAGTAAAAAGTGAAAAACTGTCTAATAAAATTTTTCTTAAACATCTACTCACTTGCATACTGGATCTCCGTAATTTTTTATGAACATCTCTTCAAATGTCATTCACAGCCACAGATTCTAACTGTTGGTAACGTTGAATTTCCTGGTTTATAGTTCCTTCACTTGCACCTAATTTTCTGAATGCAAAACAAATTCAGCAATTATTGTAAAAAGTAACAAAGTAAAAGTAACTTTTAGCTGCTCCTTCTTAATGCTCTCACTTGTCAGAATACCAAGGAATATGAACAGGCCAAAACACTGCATAAGTTTAATATTCACATCTGTCAAACTGTAAAAAACAAAACAAACCAAAAAAACCCAGTGTTTGAGGAAATGCTTTACCCATTTCTGTATCAAGAGTCTCTAGCCATCTCAAGAAAACCATAGACATAGTGTATAGAAAAATATCTTTATGTTAAATTCAACATAATACAAGCCACAAGCAATACATTTTAAAAGTCACTTTTCCTCTGAGAACAAAATGAAAATTGTAGTGTAAGTCCAAAGGAAAATGTAAACCACTGTATGATAATTTATAGGCAAGTTTTAGGCAATACTTTTCACTGTAGAAAATACGTGAATTTATAAAAAGTCCTTGAATGCAAAGACACAGGTATAGGTGTATGAAGATTACAAAATATAAGGCAGGAGGATTGGAAGTATAAGCTCAATCTGGATAACTTAGAAAGACCTTGTCTCAAAATTAAAAATAGGACTGGGGATGTACATAGCTTAGTACAAAGGCCCTGGGTTCAATCATTAGAATCAAGAAAAACAAAAAACAACAACAAAAAAGATGAGACATAATCATCAACTTTTGGGGAAAATAAAAGTTCCCAAGATTAGAAAAAGAATATTTATTCTTGTGAAGTATTCTTACAAAGGTCCTGTTAGTATTAGTGAGCAGGCAGCAGATAGAGAAGAAAGATCACCACCTACTGTCTTCTACCCCTGTTTCAGTCCTGGAGAATTACTAAGAGGCAGGCAGGTATGGAAGAGGGCGCATGAACTTTGAATTCAGACACATAGTTCCAATTTCAACTGTTTATTCTGAGCCAGTTTTCTCATCAATGACTTTGGTGTTATGGCTTGTGTTTAGATCCACCCCACCCCTCACCCCCACCCTGCCTCATGTGGACCAGATGGGGCTTTCTTCTTCAGACATGCCTGAATCTGGAATGTGTAGTTTATTTAGGGTGTGGCAAGGCCTGAGGGCACTAGGATGAAGAGTGTTGAGTGCTACCTGCCCTAAGTAGACTGAATAATAGGGGCAGAAAGAAGCTGTTAAGGCCTTGGTGCCTTTGCTACCGTGTGGGCACCAGAAATAGTTTCTCCTCTGCAGCTCCCCTCCCATTGCTCTTGTAGCTTTTGTTACCTTCTGGCTCCATGAACTGTTTCTCCTCTGCAAGGCTGCCTGTACACCATGCCACCCTGCCTCGGAGCCAGCCCATTATAGACTGAAACCTCTGAGAAATGTAAGCTGAGTAAACGTTTCCCCCTTTAACTTTGGGTGTTGGGTATTTTGTCCCAACAATGAGAGAAAATTAACTAACACATTTGGATAATATCATCTTACCTCACAGAAATATAAGGATTAAATTGAGATAACATCAAACTCAAAATGCTTGTTTATTTCTCTTCTAAAAAATTTCATTCCAAAAACACTGTTAGGAAGCTAATGCGTACATTTATATAAGCCTATGCCAATATGTATAAATGTATTCATACAAGTGGAGATATTTATATATATAGTATATATATCTTTATATATATACTACATATATGGTATAAGGTCGGTCATAAACTGCTCAGAAATGAGGAGCTGTGAAGAACAGTGGAGTAGGGTTTTAGGCTTAACTACCACTAATGAACTTATGATCTCAGGTACATGATTAAATTTCTTTGGACCTTGACCTACTAAAGAGTTTATATTACCCCAGATCCAATTTTAGCACCCTATAATTTTAGTGCTTAGAGAATACTATATTATATTTAAAAGTTACACAGACTTAAGATCGTCTATTACTTTGGCCTGTTCATTTAGTTCTCTGATATCTACTAAATGTTTCGTAATTTTTCTTCCTCTAAGTTCTTCTCCTGGCTGGCTAGAAGATGCTCCTTGTCTTCGATAATCTACAGCTTCCTGAAAAATCAGAAATCATATCTGTTAATACCATTGTCAGTTCACACAATAAATCTAGTCTACAAAATTAACACCTTAAATTAAAAAAAAAGAGAATATGCAGGAATCAAAGCCATCTATGTTAAGTAAGATGATTGGAATTCTCCATTGATTCAAATCCCTTCATTGTCATACAGAATCTAATTAGTTGCTACCTACGTTTCCCCGTGAGTGTGCTCTGTATACTTTCAAATGGTACTGGCTAGCCTGAGGGGTACCCCATATCTCTGAGCCACACAGATACTCTGTAGGAGCAGAGTAGCATTGATTCGGGGGCCTCAGCCTTAGCAGGTGGTTTATAAGTCGCTGCCCAAAGGTGAGCTTGTGGCCTTCTCCACTCACTGAACTTCCATCTGAATTCCAAATAATAAACAGTAATATTACTATTTTTAAAAAATGTCTTTCCAACTGCAAGACAATTTCATGGTACAACAGTTAAAAATGTATACAATAACTTTTCAAAAATCAATACCATAATAAAAGCAGAGATTAACTTTCTTTTTTAAAGTATAGACCTTTATTTTGCATATATACTTTGCTTTTTCAGGATTCATTTGTAATTATCTCTTAAATATGATTCAGAGATCATAAAATTCATCCACTTAAAATTTAAAATTCAATGCTTTTTAGCATATTCTCAAAGTTATGCAATCATAATCACACCCTCAGTTGAGAACATTTTCATAGTAGCCTCTTCCTATTCCTCTTTCCACCACACTCCCCATCCACCCATGCATAGGCTCTGTCTGTAGATATGGCTGCCCTCCAGTTTTAGCATCATTTCATTATCTATTAGTCAAGG